GCTGGACCTTTATTTGTCCTTTCAGAACATGTGTTTTTTGCATTGGATTGACATTTTTCTTCTTGAATTGAATGATAAATAATTTCCACGCACCAATTGTTCCGCTTTCAATGTATTCTTAAAAGTTTATTTCCATTTTAACTTTATAACTTTGTCTTTAAATATTGAATGCTTGGATTTCTTGTCTAGAAATAATTATAAGAAATATGACATAATGTCTGATTATAATTCTAAAGTTTTCCTTGTCGTGTAAACAAAAAGCTTTAAACAAAAACATGGTTTTAAAAATATACCATTTCAGTTAACACAAATTAAAGGCAAATAAGGTCTTAGCAAATATTTATTAAATTTTTTAAAAAGGGTTTTTCTTCGTACATATTAAGGTATTACATCCCCAAAACCGTTTTCTATAAATTATTTTGAAATTTCCATTAGATAGAAAAAGACAATAAGAGGGTAGAAAGAGATGGAAGTAGAAAGAGAGGGGAGAGTGAACAGTGTGAGCAGAGATTATAAGAGTTCGAAAGTGAAAGCATAGTGGCGATATAATGGATTATGATCTAAAACTTTTGGGTCCGATCAGGGGGATGTAATACCTTAATAAGTAAATTGAGTGAAATTACACTTCATGAAATCCATTTATTAGAATTTTAAATAAAAACATGTACTTTCTTGAAATAGTAATTTTCAATCTTACAAAATTATATAACATAGAAGTTTCCATTCACTTATAAACAAAACTAATTAACTTCCTCCTTTAATACAAAAATAAATTATCTTTATAAAAGATGCATAATAAATTATTGAACTTAAACGTTTAATTTAAATTTTTGAGATTCTTTGTGATATGTTAACCATTTTATAAAACAAAATTTAAATTTTGAAGATTTCCCATAGTATCTGAACTTATTTAGCACTAAAATCAAATGTGGTGACAGAACTTATTAGCGACGATAAATTAGACTGCAAATTGGCGATGTAGTAAATTTCTCTTCGTTAAAGCACGCCAGGTACACTGCAAAAAAAGAGCGTCTTCATTTAAGACGTTTATGTGGTCATATTTAAGACGTTGTTTGGCGTCTTATTAGCCTTCTAAAATGCATACATTTAGAGGTTATGTTTCTCATCTAAGACGATTAAATAAGACACTTATTTACAAAAGACGTTTGTAAACGTCTAAGTGTCTTAAAATAAGACACTTTTAAGACGCCTGTTTTTGCAGTGTAACCCCTGCCAAAATGCACCATCTAACCCCGTATGTATTTTCCATATATTTACTAACTTTTTATTAAAAATATTAATGTAAATCAACAAACTTGAATTAATACATTTAAATAAATTCAAGTGCGCCAAGTAATCTCTGCTCCAAATAGCCCCGGTCTCCCCTACCCTTAATTAATGGTTAATTGTATTGATTTAATATGTGACTTAGAACAAGCTGCCTATGGGTGGAAAATTTTAATATTGTAACAATCTTGTATCAATCTTGCAAAACTTCTACGAAATGCATGCCGCAAGATTGTTGCAAGGTTACGTGATATGTGAGATTTAATAAATTGACTGATTTTAAAGAATTTTAAATTTTGCTAGCTTTAAGTAATTAATTTAATTATCTTTCTTCACATTCATCTAAGTTAAAATAATATTTAAAAAATGTTAAAAATATTACTCTACACGGAAAAGTTTTTGGGTGCGCTGCTGTCTCACACTCACGTCCCACAATTTAGGTTTACTGCTTTCTCTCTGAAGGGAGCTCTGATGCCCCACAGAGGAAAGCAGCAGCCACAACGGGTGAAGCGGTCTACAAAAATGGGGATGCCTCTTTGCTATAGTTAAAGTCCCGCAAGCAGTCACGTAGCGTCAACACGACAGGTACAGCGACTCTTTCAAAAACTTTTCCGTGTTGTAAAAGAAAAAACTAGAAATTAAATCTTACTGACTCTTTTAATATTCTTTTTTTCTTCTCCTATTTGCAGTAAATGTAAAAGGAACGACATTGAAAATGGAAGGAAATAGTAAAAGATATAAATTATGGCTTGATAATGATGAAAAGAATGTACCTCGTTCAACTTTTCAAGATTATAGAAAAAGGAATGTAGAAACAGTAAGTGTTTTACAATATTACAATTCTAAGTGAGATATTAGAATTGGTGTGAATGTCACAATCTAGTGTGTAATACCCACTTGATAATACATATAATAGCAGAAAAATACAGATTATTAGCACTGAAATATATTGTACTACTGGAAAAGGCCCTTCAGTGCTTAAGACGGTCATAAAGATAGACTATACTGGGGTATCTTCTTTTCTCTCAGTCCTATTGGGTATCACTGTAATAACGCGTTCTGCGTCTGCGTACATTAAAAATGAGAGAGAAAAAGATATAGCAGTAGTCAGTAGACTGCAAAGACGCGTGTCTTGATTTAAGACACTTTTTTCTTATTTTCAAGACGTTTCTCGGAATTATATCTGATAGAAACGCGATAATTCGCAATGAGTCCAGAATAATCCGGAACTTGAACGTAGACTATTATTAGATATAATTTCGATTGTTTCTGAAATTTACCGAATTTGCTGCATACAAATTTCGGATTGTTCCGGACTCAATACGGAATATGGTTTAGCAAGTCTAATTTCGGATTGATACGGACTGATTCCTGATTCTTCACATACGGATTTCGGAACGATTCATACTTAATTTTAACGAAGTTTTTTAAGTAGGGTAATGTGGTCCAAAACCGACCGCCTAAGCACTAATGGCAATAAAAGTGCTTTAAAATAGTTTTTTTGTTTAAACAAAAATTTAATTCTTCAGAGGGAACCTTATTTTAAATTTTCTACCACTTAAGGAGGTTTTTAAATACTGTTTGTTTAAGATATCGAAGTCGAATTGAAAGTCTGAATATTTATCGTTTTCAAAAGTCGTGGTCCGAAACCGACCACCCCATGGTTCGAATCTTACCCCTTATTTTTTTCGATGATAATCTCGTCATTTTTATTTCTCTTCTTCTACCGTTCTTCCTTTGCATAATTTCTTGTCATTACTATCATAATGATTTGTGGAAAAATACACGGAAAAAAAGATCTGCCTATTTTCACATGTACATCTGATGCGAATAATGCACTCTCACACCTATGCGCAATTTGCTTGGAATCCATGCCAAAATCGGATGAATTCATGTACAAATTACAAAGGCTGTGTTTTTTGCACCATCTGTAGTAACTTTTGCATACTGAGTTCATGGTAAAATTAGGCGTTAAATGAAAGAAATAGATGGCTCTCTGCCTCCAAATGTTTGGTATTGTGAAAGCTTTCAAATACCGCCAACTACAGTTTCGGTGTTAGCACTAGTACAGAGAAACATGGAGAGTTCGGAATGGGACCACCGGTCGGTTTGCGGATGTTATACATAAAAGTTCCGGATTACCACAGTGACAATTCGGATTACGCTATTTTGTTCGGACTGATTTCAAAGTGATGCGTATTACTTTCAGATTCTTTGCTTACAGTTTTCAGATTGTTCAGTAGTATTTCCTGATTTAATTTTTTCGGGATTCATATTCGGATTATAGCGGACTGATTTCATAGTCATTCCAGATTATTCCGGTCTAACTTAGGATTTGTTATTTTAGTCGAACTGACTTCAGGCTATCGCGGATCATTATCGTACTTGTTTCGTACACTTTTCAGGCTTATCAAAACCAATTTCTCCGAATTTAATCCGAAATTAATCTCACTTTTTTACCAGGGACACTTCCGTCACATTCGGTATCGATAATGTGTGTTTTTATCGTTTTTATAACCCAGGAAAAAGAAAGGAATTGGGAGTGAGCGAAAAGATTTGTCGGTAACTTAAACTCAATATGGTTTTGCGTATAAACCCAATTGGGACGTTACGGCGAATTCATTTTTTCTTACCTTGAATTCTTTTCGCCCGATTCGTTTGAATTTACACGAAAAAGATTTTGGGTGAGTTGCTGTCTCTGTTGTGGTGGCGCTGTGCGACCGATGCGCGGCTTACATTATGGTAAAGAGGAAACCTCATTTTGGGAGAACGTCTCTCTCGATTGAGGTTGCTGCTTTCCAGCTTTATAAGGCATCAGCGCTCTCTCAGAGAGAAAACAAAATCTATATTGTTGGACGTAAACATTGGACAGCAACTTAGAGTGCAATCCCATGTAAGCAGAATACGTCGACCGAAAGCAGAAAATCATGAGAGTGAAAAGGACAACAATATCTACCTATCACTTTTTCACTCATTATTTTCTGCTTTCGGTCGACGTATTCTGCTCGCATGGGATTGCACCCTTACCCAAAACATTTTTACGCTTAAGGACAATCACTCTTTGCATTTATAATAACAACTCGAATCAATAAACGTAAATTCAAACAATTCAGGTGAAAAGAATTCAAGGTAAAAAAGTGAATTCTCCGTAACCTCCTAATTCGATTTAGAAGCGAAACCGAATTGGGCTTAAGTCACCACTAATTCTTTTCGCTTACTTCCAATTTTTTTTCTGTGAAGTTAATTCTGCATTTTATTTCAACTAAACACGATTTGGTCAATTGAGATTAATCTTACAATTTGACAATAATAGACTTAATTTGAATTTTCAACTAGTTTTTCAGAAAATTTACAAGGATTGTTTTAATTTTCAAATAGCTGATTGTACCAAAGAAATTATTACTTTTGCATGACTAATGTAAAGGTCAAAATAAGAATAATTAATAGAACATATTGTACAATAAAGAAAATTGACAGCTTTTTAAAAATCTGACTTCAAATTGGCAATCAGCCAATCCAAAAGCCCTTAAATATCAATTTTCCAATAAAAAAACTGCAAATTTTTTCAAAATTCATCCAACATATTGGATTCACCATTTTGAATTTAATAAATTTGGCTTTAAATTGATAATCAGCGACCAAAAAAACCTTGGGTAACAATATTTATATAAATGTATCAATCTAAAAAAATCCTATATTTTATAAATAGTAACATGGTTTTCATGGTTAGAAAAAATTCTGACGCAATAGGGCAAATATGACCTAAGATTCATTTTCAGAGCATCAAAATACATAAGAATAGCGCAATCTAATCAAAAACTCAGAAATCTTATTATTTTGTGGATCTGTGTATCCTATTTGTAAAATTAGAAAATTTAAGAGATAATATATTATAATAATTACAATAAATTATAATGTAGATTTCCACAAGTGACTGTGAGCCAACGGTTGTTGATTCTGATGAAGAAGATGAGGTAATATATTTCATATTAATCAAAATTTTCAACTTTAATATAATGAACAAATGCAATTTATAATTTATTTAACATTCACAATCAGCCTGTCGAATAAAAGTTTTAAAGCGGTTGATTGCATCTCACTTATAGCACAATATTTTTCAGGAAGTTTGCAATGTAAAGTTCGGAAATTTTCAGCAAATACTAAAATGTCCGCCAGGTATCAGGTTTGCACATACCGATTACAATATGTTTTATCACATTTACTCTGTCATATTCTTCGAATCTCCATGTGATTGCTTTGGTGGGGATTACGCCAGCATCCTATGGAATTCGGAAATGGGAAGACCAGCAGATAATCCTTTCACTTGATTGTTCTCGTTCCGCAGAAGATTGTGCTCTAGACGTCCCTAGAACATGGTGCTTGCACTTTCTAATTTTTTGGTTGCAGTAGTAGGATTTAATTGCCAATCTGGATTATGTTACCAATTAGGTTTACACGATTTACATAAACAAGTGCAAACAACACCCTAGATTTTAAAATGTAGATATGTGGTCAAAGAGATTCACCCTCTCGTCTACTCCCTTTCTTTGTCTACTCCCTTCCTGAAAAATGTTGTGTTATATGTGAGATTATTTAACTTATCGTAAATTTGGAGGCGTTGTCGGGCAAAGGCCTAATTCTCCCTAGGCTGGGCAAATGATATAAAAATTGCATTTATTTTCTTACACAACAAATAAAGAAATGACTTTGCTTCCGGTTACTAATTGTCTTAATTATGTTTTGACAAAATTACAATACTACATTTTTTATTACTTTCTAAGAAATACAGTAAAAAGATATTTTTACTATTTTTAAACTAAATATTTAAATGCATTCAAATAAATACAGATTATATCATGTTACAGGTGTTGATTAATCATTGTCAATTAATGGATTTAAACTTGGACCAGGTAGATGAGGTAAAATAATGTATTTTATAATATACTCTAAGCTACGAACCTATTTAATTCGCTCATTAAAATTTAAGTGCATTGAATGTTTTCGCGTATTCACTATGGATAAAGTAATAAATATCGCAAGCCCAAGTAAGACAAAACATGAACCAAAATTTCTCAAATGTAACCAATCTAAAAATTAAAGCTATATGGTTTCGCTAAGAAATAAACCTACCTAAGTTTGACACGCCGATTTTTATGAAACTTGTCATACTTTTAGAACTGGAAAAAATAAGAGAAACGTATTTTTTATATCGGTAAAGGTGAAGGTTTAGGGTGTGAAATGCCCCTCTCAATGTCCAAAAAACCCCTAAAACGCCTAATAATATCCAATCTCCTATAAAGCAAAAAACCCCATTGTATCTAAGAGTTTTCAGGCTTGCTGATTGCGAATCTGGGTCAAAATTGATAAATTTAAAATGGCAAATCTAATAGGGCGTATCGAATTTTTAGAAAATACAAATACAGCACAAACTTCACGCCTATAGCGCATCGAAATTCTTTTGGGAAATAAGTATAACCGTTCATACTAGCAAAGTTTTAATTTTTCTCTCCATGTAGTTAACAGAAGAACAAGTTAGAGAAGAATAGGTATATTATTTATCCTTCTCTAACTCATTTTTCCGTTTGCGATTGCGCTTATTATTACGACGTTATGCTGCTTAGGCCTTTATACTTATGTTAACGTTTATAGAACAAGCTTTTGACATGTTCTAAGAAAAATCAAGGAAAAACTTATTTATTAAGAAAACACACTATTGGATTCATAGGCTAGATAGACAGCTGTTTTTCATTTTCAATATACAGTGAACGACTCTTTTAAAGATTACCAATATAGAAGTTTCTTGATTTTTCCAGTAGATTCAATTGATATTATTATTTTTCAAAAATATTGAACATTTTAATAATTTACTAGGAAGAAGAACTATTAATTATAATTTGTTCAAACAAATTTAATAATTTGTTTGAACAATTATTGTTAAACATTTGAAAATGGAAAACAAAAAAACAGATGTCTATTTATTTTTAATTTGTCTATGAATCTAATAGTTAGTTGCTTTAATTAATGTCTTGGTTTTGCTTGGGAATCAAACATTCTCTCTACGATACATGAGACTTCATTGTTATAATTGCAAACAAAATGATATTATTTTTTTCCACAATTAAATGATGAAATGATAGACCCCTTTCAAAATATATGAAAATATATTAAATATATTAAACAAAACGTATAATTGTTTGCTAAAGTTACGTTTTGTTTTAAATTCCTTATGGTTTTCTGAGGTTTTCCATCGTCATAATATTTTTATACTTATAAAAACATACTTTTTCCTACAAATCGGCGTCTTCCAACCATTGTGCGCCATATTAGATCCGACATTTTGAATTTTGAAAATCTGATATCATATTCGTATTCAACGACCCCAAAAACCCAGATACCAAGTTTTATACAAAGTTATTAATTTTGAATAGATATCCCTGTCAACATTCATTTAAGAATTGTTTTCATCTTTAAAAATCTGTAATGACCTAATGTAGTAACCTAATAGGCGCAACCAATCGCTACGCTAAACAGAATCCCTCTGCTGTAGCATTGAGTTTCCGTAAAACATTCTGGAACATCTTTCTGTTTGAAAATAACATTTTTCTGTCCCACATATTATTTACAGGATGGATTAGACTTCACATTTTGCTTTCCTTGCATACACAAGAGGAATAACCATTTATAATTTTTGTAATCTAATAACTGATTATTATTTTATGAGACAAAGAAACGACCGATTAAGTAGTTTTATTTTTAAAAACATTTCTCATTAAGCTGACATGGTGAAACATTTTGTAAAACAGATTAGGTTTTAATTCCATCTAACAATTTATTTACGGATTAGGCATTACATCTTGGCTTTTTTGTGTACACAAGAGGGTCCACTATTATAAGTTTTTCATAATCTAAGATCTTACAATTTATTAGGGGAAGTGCGCCGATTGTGTGCACCCTTTTGTTTATGGCTTTTAACTTTTGAGAAAATGCATATTATGAGACATCTGCGTATCAGTGGCAATCTAGAGGCCTTAGGTAACTGTCAAAGAAGTACCTAAATTGATTCTTGCTATATTCTATTTATATTCCAGAAATATAACACTGTTTCTGAAAAGTACTTATTTTTAACGAAAGTGACTGTATAAGTCACAAATTGTCAATTTGAGATATTCGTAATCAGCGACCCAGAATTTAACATCATTTTCCTAATCAACGACCACGAAAACCCGTAAACTGTTATTATTAATAAAAAAAAGAACACTTTTTAGAAAAGTTGACATTTACATTGGCAGCTATCAACTGTCAAATTGTAAGTTTGACATTATATTCCCTACTTGTCTCTTATATTATAATTTTGTCTAATATCTTCTCAAATTTAAATCTAATGTTAAAAGAACCCAGATATTTAGTGTTAGTGACAAAATTGCTGCATTAAACGAAATCTTCCAAGATGCATGGGTACTTTGCTATATAGATTTGACAAAAAACACTATTTTTAAAACATTAATTATAAATAACGTTATATACCTACATAATGAAAAAATTTGTTTTGTTAAATATAACCTAGATAATATTGAATAAAAGAAACAACTGTGAAAGTGGATTAATAAAAGTCCATTTTTTTCAAGAAAGAAACTTTTACATTCTTCACATTATATTTACCGTTATTCAAGAAAATTCCTTTTTCATTATAATTCACGAAGTTCCCTTAATTATAATTTTTTATTGATTGTGTTTAATTATAAATTATTTTTTAGGTAGATTCACCTTCAGAAACAGACGCTTGTTCGCAAAATGGAGATGACATCGATAAAGAGGATGTAGTTGTCTGCCCAGTAGCTCCTGAAGATGCAAATGGTATAAGCGAATTACAAAGAAAGCTCTTGTGTCCAAAGACTTTTCAAGTTATTACAACGTCAGTAGTGGTGAATGAAGGAGAATTATTGCTAATATTTCTTAAATATGCCATTTTTGCAAATTTGAATCACACTGCTGTTACGCAATTATTTAAAGCTGTTAACTGCATATTCGCATCAAATGTTTTACCCGACAGCCGTTATTTTATTGATAAATTATTTTTTCAAACCGATTTCGTAAAATATCATTGTATTTGTCCAGACTGTAAATCATATATTGGTACATTTGTTCGTTCAGATCGGCAAGTGAAATGTAATATTTGTCAAAAAGAAACTGTTATTAATGGTCGAAATTTCAACAGTTTTTTTGCGACATTCGATATAAAAAGCAATGTAAAGTCTCTTTTAGAACGTCATCACAAATACTACAACTTTATAATGTCACACAGAACTCACGATCCTGAATATTATCATGATATTTATGATGGAAGAACATACAGAAAATTCGTTGAAAGTTTACCTGTTGATGAACAAAATAAATATGTAACCTTCACTTACAATTGTGATGGAGCGCCTACTTTTGAAAGTAGTACTTGTTCCATATACCCAATACAGATAATGATAAATGAATTGCCAATAGAAGTTAGAACTGAGGAGACAATAGTTTGCGCGTTATGGTTTGGAAAGTCTAAACCTGATATGAACGCACTTATGGAAGGGTTTGTAAATACCATGAATGAGTTCACTAGTTCTGGTGTAGAGTGTAGTATTGAAGGCGAAATAAGGCTAATTAAACCATATGCAATATGTTGCTGTGTAGATTCTGTTGCCCGAGCTTCCATGCAAGGCGTTAGCGGTCACACTGGTCACTTTTCATGTCCTTGGTGTTTACATCCGGGGATATATGTTCAAAACGCTTTAGGTAAAGGAGGTTGTGTAAAATTCCCAAACAGCGTACTGAAGATCAGTTTCTTGAATGTTTAGAAAATTTGATGAAAAAAATTCTTTATCTGAAATGAACCAAACTATTCCCAGAGAAATTGTTTATCAAGCAAATGACGATGTTGAAAATGAAATTATTCCTGAAAATGGTAGTGAAGCAATAAATTCTTCTGACATTAATTCTGAAGAAGAAGAAGAAGAAGAAGATGACGATGACGATGGAGAAGAAGAAAAACAAGGGAAAAAAGATCCTGCGTTCGGAGTAAAACACGTCTCTCCTTTAATTAATTTAAAAAAATTTCAAATGATTGATGGATTTGTGCCTGATGACTTACATTTCGCTCGACTAGGCTTAGCTGAGCAACTTGCTAATTATTGGTTTAGCAAAAAAAAATCACCGTTATTCAAAACATTGACCAAAAAAACAGTAAAAGAAGTAGACAAAATTCTGAATTCTATTTCAGTTCCCAAGCAAATAATGCGTTTAACTAGACCTTTCAGTGATAGAGCCTTTTGGAAAGGAAAAGAGTGGGAAAATTGGATTTTATACTACAGTCTTCCTATTATGGAACTATTCCTAGAGGATAAATATTTGAAACATTGGGCTCTATTTGTGGAAGCATTTTATTTATCATCACAAACGTCAATCACTCGAGAGCAATTACAAAGAATTGATTATTTAATGAAAGAATTTGTGGCAAATCTTGAAAATTTATACACAAAATTTGCTATGACTCACAATGCCCACCAAGCTGGTTTTCATTGGGCTAAAAGTCAAGATAACTGGGGTCCATCATGGGCACACAATACTTTTCCGTTTGAATCCGAAAATGGCAAATTATTAAAAATGATTCACGCGGCAAACGGTGTAACGAATCAAATTTGCAGGAAACTTTCTATGGAACAATGTGATTTATTATTAACAGATGCTATTTTGCCAAATTCTTTACCACAAGTACAACATTATTGTTCTAATTTAACAAATAAGAATACCCAAAAATGCTGCAAAGTTGATTTAGCGAGATATTTTGGAACGCCAAAATTAACAAAAATTAATTGGATTCAAAAACTGCAACTCTCATGTGAGTCAGTTTCCTTTAAGCGGATGGTAAAAGATAAGTGTCTATATTCGAGTATAGTGAGAAAGAATGAACGATCTAATAACAGTTATGCACAATTGAATAACGGTTTATTTGTGAAAATATTAGAATTTATCGTAGATGAACAATTAGTAAAAGAATTTGTAGTTTTTAAATACATTGTAACAGAAAACGCTTACAGGAATCAACATCCATATTTTAAGAAGGTGATTGGTTTAGAGAAATACATTAAAGCTCTACCTGTAGAAACGTTACAAAAAATTGCTGTATTTCTTAGAATAGGAAATAACGAATATATTTGTTCGGTGCCAAATCTATTACACTGATATATGTAATCGGTTCCTTTTTTCATATAAAAAATGAGAAGGATACCTTCCTACAAGGAGAGGGAAAAAGGCTACGATAGCCGAAGACCCAAGTAGTAATTGCCTGAGTGTCTCAAACAGTAGCATTAAAGTCAACACAACTTGGGTCCCAAGTAGTATTTGCCTGCAAAACGCAAGCTATATTAACCCTTATAGGTCGCACCTCTTTTTGATGTTTTTGTTAAAAAATCATAATTTTTAGAATTTTTAATATTTTTAATTGAAATTTGTACAGTTAATATAGCATACCTAAAGGAAAGTTACGTTTTCTGCTTCTTTAGAAAAAGGTGTTTATTGAATAACAATCTTTAAAACTAATGCATGTGTGGGAAACACCCAGTGTGAACTTTAAGGGTTAAAAGCCTGGTTAAAACTCAGAGGATAAAAAAGGAAATGCTTGAATTTTCCAGCTTACTTCACGCGTTTCCTACTTTGCTATCTTCCAGTGTAATCAGGTTTTTAATACAGCTTGCGTTTACCAGGCAAAAACTACTTGTGACCCAAGTTGTGTTGACTTTAATGCTACTGCTTGAGTCACTCAGGCAGCTCCTACTTGGTTCTTCGGTTATCGTAGCCTTCTTTTCTCTCCGTTTGCTAATAATTAATAAGTGAAATATGTTTTGGTTCAAAAGTTGCATTTATATCATAGAAAAATTTTAGATGACGGATTAGCTAGAGTAACCAATTTTTGGAAACTTCTAGAGATTATATAACGATAACTCTATTATCCAGTTTTCTGATCAATTTTGGCAAACGGGTACACGGGAATAGTACCAAAGAAATTCGTTAAATTAATGAACTTCACTCAAATGAAAGCTAAAAGAAATTAATAAGTGTGAAGTGAAATGAATAGTAAAATTTTAGATAGGGATAGCCGGTGCCCAAAACATTTCCCGTTTATAATAACAATTTATGTAGAAATATTTAGTGAAGGATTTAATTTTATTTTGTCTACTTTCATTAAGACTTTTATTGAAAAAGTTTGATGAAGATTTCAAAGGATTATTAGGTAATCCGAATGAAAATCTATGTTCTCTTTACCATCTAAATGTGCAATACCAGTTAAGAAAAAATTTAAATTTGTTGTCACGTTGACATGATTTAGGATTGCTTTTTGTATTTGTGATGGGTTTTTTTTGGATGGTTCTGGGTTTGTGCAAACCTGATCGACAATTCTTTATTTCAAATCTTTAGAGTTATTTGTCTTATCATTGTTAGTGTGTGCAAAAGGTATTTTGCATATCGTTCTCTATGTAAGGCAATAATGTTATTTGGGGTTAAGTTACGGTTTTCTAAAGAAAGAAGGATCCCTCCTTAATTGATGGAATTAATAGTTTCGACGCATTAGTCCTTTATATGTGTCCTGACGCGGTGAAAGGGACCTTCTGGTCCAAAAAATTAATTTTGAATTATTGATGCCATTCTATCCAGATTCTTTCAATCGATAAAATGGTATTGATATCTCAAAATTAATTTTTTGGACCGTAAGGTCCCTTTCACCGCGTCAGGACACATATAGATCAAAGAATTTGAATTACTGTTTATAAAAAAACTCATGTTCATCAAAGAACTCTATCAAAATTTGCCCGTTTCTATTAATTTCAGTATCTAGCACATTTTTCTCGTGATATATATTATATGCAATAATAGGCAATATAAATAAAGCAATTTAATTTAGTTTTCCTCTTTGACAATTAAGCCCTTGTCATACATTGATGTGTATGAAAGTTAGACTCTCTGACAATTATCCCCTTGGCAGTCAAAGACGTTAATGCAAGTTATTAAATAGGTGGACTTCAATATTTGATGGCGTGTATACACATAAGATTTTTGCTCAATTAACTTTTTCGGATTTTCATGAAACTTGTTATTCGTCAGTTTTTGGTGTCGCTGAATCTGAATTTAACGTGAAATTTGAATAATTCGAATTAACAGAACCATAATATCAAATAAAATTTTAAAAATTCAAGTTTTGGTTGAAAACTGTCTTTTAAAGGGCAAATTTATAAAATTCCGAAAGAGCGAAACCAAATTTTAATAATGGGAAAAGTATAAAATGTATAATCCAACATGATCGACCAATATTTTGAAATTCCGCAGTTTTGAATTTTTAAAATTTGACTTTGGATTTTTAATCAGTGACTCCAAAAACCATAATATACACATTTCTACAAATCTTGGTCTTTTAGTAACTTCTTGACAACTTGAGTCCACTTTTAAGAATTTTGCTTTGACTTTAACTATATTAGATAATTCGAATTTATAATTTGGTTTGTACTTAAAGTTGAAAATTAGTTACTCCTGTGAAGTAATCTGAGACATAGGTAGAGAAATGGACTAAATCCATTTTATTAATGTCCCGTGACATGAGGTTAACTATTAAAAATTCGTGAAAAAAGATAGATTAATATTTTTCTAACTTGTTAAATTGTTTATTAATTTAATAAACAATTATATGCTTTTGATTTTTAAATATTTAAAAATGCAAACATTCTTTCTCATATTCATATGAGAAATATCGTGTATGTATTATGCAATTTCTTCCATTTTATAAATGTACGCTTTACTATAAAATATAATCTTATTGAACTCATATTACTTTTTAATTTAAGAATAATCATTGTTCTCTGAAATTGATTGATTATGTAAAAATTACAGTTATCGATGAAGAAAAACGGCATTGACCGGTTTAAATGAAGTTAAATTGAGAAACAGTCAATTTTAACTTTATTTCTACATAGATTAAAAAATCTTATGGATAGACTATGCAAAACATGTCTGTACTTAAAGTTTAGCTTGTAGAAAAATGATTGTTTACTTATTTCACGCCATTTAAATCAGTTAGTGTCACTTTTTCGTCCCATACTTGTAGATCTCACATAATCAAGATATTACAGAGACCATTGACAATTTTTAAGTTAAAGTTGAAACATGAACAATTTTTTATAAATGGCCATTTTCGGATTCAAGGCGGTTTTGTAGCGCTCTTTAAATGTTTGTGTCAATATATCATCAAGCACAAATCCGTCAATCATATTCTCATTTAGCACGGTGTGTTATTGATAGCTCTTAAAAATATCGGTGATAATGTAGCGAAAACTTTCAAAAAGCATTAACAAGATTTAAATATCTGTCTCAAAAGATATCGAAAAAACATACACGTCCCAAGAATATCCTGAAATATCATGGTACTGTGAGGGATTGCTTTGATATTATAATTAAAGTTCCCCTTCAAGCGGGTCACACAAATCTTTCTGAAAAATGTACAAGAAGTTATCGTACTGTGAAATTTTTCACAAAAGTGAAATCGCAAGTTTTAATCATGTCCAATATAATACCGAGTTCATGGAGATGTAGATTTACTTAAGCACGTCTATAAGGGGTTATCCAAGTTGATTGAACTTTTACATTGAGCATCAATGAGAAAATCGCATCGACTTGAACATCCCCTTAAAACGCTTTTAGAGCGTCCATGTTAGTCCAAAGAATGTCCCAAAGATGTTTTTTGTCTGAAAGTCGCCATAAAAATATAAGACAACCCATATCCCAATGTCAATTGAGTACTAAATAGCGTCTT